TTATGTAAAACACAAGTATTTGAGTATTGCCTGTTTAAGTAACCCAACAGCCAAATAGATATGCTTGCTATGCAAACAAAAAGGCCATGTAGACTGCACTGGCAAGCTAAGCAAATGAATTATGCAACTTGTCCTCAAGCATCAGATGTTTGGCTGGACACACACACACACACATACACACATATAAGAGCCTTATTGTGTAATGATTATCTTACGTGTCACTGATAGATGTGCTTTTTCGTGATTATCATAAAGAGAGACGCTGAAAATGGAAGTGTAGACTGGGTTCCCCCTTTTTTCTCCCCTCAGTGTTCACTGTTTCTGTAGTGCATAATCTTCAGAAGAAACATGTTGTGTATTGTATACATCAGAAATGTTAGAAGTGGTCAAACTGGCCGGTTGTTAGTGTTTTTCTCTAAAGAGTGATACGCTGGAGTTTCAGGGTCATATGTTATGTAGTTTATCAATTTCAAAAAAGCAACCTGTATTTAATTTCCACGCTAGCATATATCTAAACAAAGAGCATAGGCTCATAGGATGACTGGCCTTTGCTCTATATATATTAGATCATATTCTGAATTGGTAATAATTTATTCTTCCACATTCTTGTCATTCACCCTGTAGTAACATGGCTGCCATTTTCCTTTGACGTCATGGTCAGGGTGGGAAGCCTGACATTTTTAAATAATGTTTATCTGTTGTCTCCCAGGATGCTAACATGAGGATGTCTAACAATTATTATCTATTTTGGAACTCTTTATCTGGTGGGACGTCTGGTTATATATTGCGCTTGAACAACAGGATGCAATGATAGCATTTAGCTCAACCTGCGGCCAAGTGTTGCAATCTAAGCAACAAATCTTAGCCATTATAGCGAGGAAATCCCATTAGCGAGGAATTAGCCATTAGTCATGTATTTAACTAGGAATTACTGCCTTTTCAGTGGAGAAGCAACTGACAATAATCTACATATTTGATTACATATTATCTTGTCTTAGAACAGTGAATGTAAGCATTTGACCACCTCCTCCCTAGCTTACTCGGCGGCACAGTGTTGCAACTCAAAGTTTTGAATTCCTTGCCATTGCAAGGAAATCACCGTTATCCAGGTGTTTGACGTTAGCTAGAAGTATTTCCTTCTCAAACTGTGTAACCTGCAGTTTGTTTTACATCCCTGATCAGGAATTTGACTGTCTTTGTAATATGCCCAATTTACAGCCCCATGATCTTATTGTGCAAGGAAGAATTGCTTTTCTAGTAGAAAACATCTTAGTTGTACCAAAAGGAGAATAATTGGAGTTTTTTTTTTTTTAAATCCACTCTTTTACAAACTCAAACCAACCTGCTGTGTTATCCAACCTGTGGTTCTGTATTTGGGATGAAGCCCTTTGCCAATGCTGGTATCTTCATTGGACATGGGCATTCTCCCCAGTGTCCTCTCATCCAAACTTAGCCGCGGGCATGCCTCCAATCAATGTCTCCTTTTGCTTCTTCTGTGGACTGCCAAGTGGCAGCTCTATGACTAACATGTCAAGTCTTGTGTCAGTAAACAGATCCTTCGTGAAAAACAAACAAACAGAAAAGGTCACACGGTCACCTTTACATCTGATTGTGCGTGCTTTTAGATGCTGATAGATAACATGCATCCAAAGAAGTCAAATACTATCCTGTTTTACAGTTGTACATTTTTTTTTACAAATATGATGAATGTCTGGCTATAGGAGCATAAAGACTGGAAACAGTGGTAACAGTTTAGCCTGTTTCTGCCCAAAGGTAACACAAAACCACATAACATTTTTTATGTGCAGGTTAAACTACCTAGGCTAGGTAGAGCCGGGCTAGATTTTCCCTCTTGTTAAGCTAAGCTAAGCTAAGCTAAGCTAAGCACCTCCATCTATTAAACTGCCATAGACATGAAAGTGTTATCAATCGTCTTGACTAACTCGGGTAGGAAAGTACAATTTGCCCTTTCATTTAAAGAATTCAAACTTTTCCACATATCTACACACAAACTGTCCTCAGGGGAATATTTGGTTCCTGGAAAACTGTCAGAAGATAAAATGCTACGCGAGAAGTTATGGTGAGGGGGCTGCAACAGTGAATCGGAAACTCTCCTGTTGCTTTTTAGCTTCAGCCAATGTTCTTGGAACACATTTTTTCCTTTGAATAACGTTTGTGTATTTAGTTCAGAAAATATAACATAGAATTGTTTCACTTCTCCAACTTTCAAATTTCACCTCCAAATCAACAGAGTGCACCTTTAAACAGTTGGAATTTATGAGTCCTTACTAATAATAACTCTCATTAATCAATGTTTAGAAAGCAGTTGAAAGCACAATATTAACACCCCTGTGATGTCTTGCCTTTACTATAAATCTCACACAGGCGTAAGGGTGGGGGGACAAACTGAGCCCACCTCTGTGCTTTAATGCAATATCATATCACAGACTGGCAAACCAATATTCTGCCATTTAGGAATCAATATGAAAGTAGAAAGGTGTAGAAAGGAGCTTCATTACACCATTTTTACAGAATCGCAATCGGAAAATGTACTAGAATTGACCCAATTACACAGTTTTCCAACCACATCTTGTTCAAGTTTTTTGTGTTGCCTAGTGGCCTTTCTGCCGTCCACATATTTCCTCTGATAGACAAACACTGCTCACTGCCAGCACCAATTAAAGCCTGAAGCACATGTTTGGGTGTGTATGTCCCTGTTCAACTTGTTTTGATTGTGTTGTTGGGTTTCCCTTGGCTGCTCAGTGGCTCAGTGGCTTTGTCTTTGGTCTGAAACTGAGGGCCAAACAGGGACCATCGTTATCTGTGGGACTTGGACACGGCCTTGGCTGTACTTGTAGTGACATGAAACTCGTTTATTGGTTGAAACAAATAATTTCTGTGATTTTATATCCAGTTTATTGAGAGTTTTATTTATGTCTTAATCTTCTTAAAATGTGCTTTTGATGTCTGATGTGTGGTTTTTGTGGTTTTCGTTTGTGTGTTTTGTGACTTCACTGAGACCGTCTGGCGTCTGGCCAGCTCAAACTGTCCATGGCTTGGAGGGCTGGAAGTAATGGGCTCAATTCCCAGGTTGGACTGGAGGGGGACTGAATAAAAACAAGAGAGGGGGAAGCCTGGGGACGCTCAGGGAAATAACAACAGTCCACCAGGAACACAGAGAGAGAGAGACAAACTCATTTGTTAACTGCAGTGGCTCGCTTTTTAATAAATGCTTGGAGGGCAGGTGCGGTCACTTCACTCACTGCATTAAAGCTTTAAGGAAAGTGAGTCCTCAAATATTCTTCTACTTGCAGGTCATCTGCATGATAATATTCTTTGCAGCAAAACAACCTTTGTTACCGCTTTACAAACTGTGTTTTTATTTTTATTTGACCATTTACTTACTCCAAAAAATTCTGAAAAAGTATGTACATCTGTGAGATCAGTAATGTCGTGTGAGTGTGACAGTGTGTGTGTGTGTGTGTGTGTGTGTGTGTGTGAAGTTCAAAACAAAAGGAGCTTCAGGTAGGGAGGGAGTGCTCGCTGAGAGTCACATTATGTAAATGAGAGAGAGAGAGAGAGAGAGAGAGAGAGAGAGAGAGAGAGAGAGAGATCTGGGTCTGCAGCTTCCTTAGCTGCGTGGGAGCCAATGAGCGAGCTGTACTTGATTGTCCTAACGGCCCCTTTATCCACTCACAGTCTGCAGGTCTATGCTGCATTCATGTGGGGTTGGACATATCGGGGAAAAAAACAGTTTCTTAGTTGGAAAATGCTCATGAACGCCTGCTCAAGTTGGAGCAACAACTTGGGAAAGAATTGGGTGCCTGACTTGCCGAGTTGACGTCATATTCAGCATCAACATGGGGGTCAAAAGATGTTTTGTTATTGTTGAGATACTTTTGATGAATTAACATATTGCATATTTAACTCGTAACAGAGACATTCACATGTCCGCTTGCATGTCAACTTTCAGACTTTCTGAACTGAAATCACGTGAACACACTGACGTCGGAAGAACGACATTTATCAACCCGGAAACCAATCAGGACGACCTCATGGGTTGTCACATACATTTAGAAGTTTTCTTTGCAACAATGTCGTACCTTGACAGCAAATCACTCTGAAAGTTGTGTGGGTTAAACTAACTAGCTATAACTTGCTAATTAGTGAGCCAGTGAACCTGAGCCACGCTAGCTGTTTCCCCCCTGTTTCTGGTGCTTGTGCTAAGCTAAGCTAGCGGTCCTTCTTTTTTTTCCTCTTCACAACTATGTACAATCTTAAGCGTCTTTTGGTTTCTAAAAGGTAGTATGCGTTAAAGAAAAATGTAATTCATATGAAATTAAAACAGTTGAATCCCCATAGAGCAGATTATTTTTTTTTAAAGTAAATTCATTCATTTCTTTGTCAAAAAAAAAGAACCAGAAATCTGTAAAAAAAAACAAAACAAACAAACAACAACAACAAACCCTTATTTCCAACACCAAGCCCGTTTATGTTTCTCTTTTGATTCAACAGCCTAAACTCTAAAGGCAATCATTTTATTGGAATAAAAAGTAGCATGATCTCACTCTTGAGAAGCTGGTACCTCCACATGTTTAGCCTTCTTGCTGGAGAAAAAACAAACAGAAAATGCTAAACCCATTGTCGATAGTATGATAAAGATTTGAACTTATTTGCTTGCTAAAAGAAAGCATCTCCTTGGCTCATCACACATGCTATATTAAATGGACTGCTCTCTGTCAGTATGTTGTCTGGAATGTAACCCTTCCTGTACATGTGAACCCGGGTATGCAGTTTGAAATGAATCACACAGCAACAACTCTTGGAAGTCGTGGTATTTTGAAATTGCATCTTGTCTATATGTGTTGGAGCTGAAGTTGACTTTGACATTCTACTACATGTAGTTCACCCCTGAAGCCAATGTTTGCTAACACTGGCTGCTTCCTAACCTTCTCGTTACCCTTCATCTCTGACCTGAATATGCTTTTTGTCCCCTGCAGACGTCTGTCTTATCGTGATGCCGCCATGCATGGGCGAGGACGACCGCTTTAGTCTGGAGGCGCTGCGGCACATCCACAAACAGCTGGACGACGACAACGACGGGGGAATAGAGGTCAACGAGAGTGTGGAGGTGAGCTTGGTGGATTCATCGAAAAGATTTGGGGTTTCAGCTGATGCCTTGGGCATATGACAAATCAGTAGACGTAAACAAAACCCTTCAAGAGGGTGAAAAGTTGGACCTTTTGGTTTTTAGTTTTGGTTTTAGAATCTCCTAAAGGGGGTCCTCAAGTAACTTCAGTCAGATGATATAAGCAACAAAAGAAAATGAATATTTCTATTACACTAAATATGTATATATATATTTTTTTTTTACTTTTTTCATTTCAATTCAGCCTTTGCTTTTGAATTACAAAAAAGTGTCAAACATCTCCTTTATTTGTCTCCACTTTAGACATTTTTTACACTTTCTGAAAAATCAAAAAGGAAAATATTTGAAATAATTGTGCCTTTAAACCATACGTTGAACAGTGATTTTTATGAAATATAGTTCATGTAACGCAGAGGTTTAGACGTGAAGATTGAAACTATTCTCATGTGTACATGTACATGGCAGCCTGAATAAGAAGCTGAAGGCGGTTATCTTAGCTTAGCATAAATACTTAAAACAAGGGGAGACAGCTAGCCTGGCTTTTTCTAAAGATAGGAACATGCCCACCAAGACTTCAAATACTTCTTATTCATAAATAATGTCTTATTCTATTTTCTTACCTGCACAGTACAACAAACAGAGCAAAGCTAAAATGATTAACCCAGCTTCTAATCTTTATGCTAAGCTAATTTAGCTTCTTCTCTTCTGGTCAAGTGAAGTATTTTAACCTGTTAAAGCTTCTAAAAATCCATCAGGATTTTGAAAATTGGATTCTGAATTGTTGACCTTAAAACTGTCCCAGAAATAGACATTTTGAAACTTTTAACGGCTGTACCAGAAACATTTTGAGGAACTGATGTGCCAGAGAAACAAAAACATGAAGTCATTCTGCTCTACAAACGTTGTGCAAGTGAACTTATCTGGAACTTAATCTGTGAGAGGAGCTTGAAAACGCTATCTAAACTACAGCATTTTAAAGCTCATTAGGTTAACCAAATCCAACCTGCAAATAAATGTTTCTTGTGTTGACACAAGAATAGCTGCCTGTCAGCTCTGAAAGCGGATCGCCTCACATCAGCAAATATTTAGTTTACAAAACCAACAGTGAGAAACACCTTTTGGCGGTCGGCTCAGGTGTACAAAGATGGCGCGGGAACATCTAAAGGAGTGACACATCTGGAAGAGATGGGGCTCGTTTCTAAAGTGACAAGAGGGGTAGAGAGTGATACCTGAGAGCGCTCTGACCCGCTGTGCCCTCTGCGTCTCTGGGTAGTCAACGACCACGGTCACATTCTGCCTGTATGTGTGAGTGTGTGTTTGTGTGTGTTTGTTTGTGTGTGTGTGTGTGTGTGTGTGCTGGTCGGAGTCATTTATAACTGGCTGAGAAGGACTGGTGTAAGAAACAGTTATACCCTGCAGCCCTCTTTGGTGGCCCCTCAGTAAAGACCTGGACGTGTATAAGTCCTGTCTTAAGACCCCAGAGATGTTACATCTGGCCCCCTGCCCAGATTAAGTCCCTGCATGTATCCCTGATTCCTGTATGTGCCGTGCCGTACTGTAGCGGAGTGTGTTACAGTGCCCTGTTTTCACCTTTTGTCTTTATAAGGGCAACCAGTCGTGTCTGTTTCTTCACAGCAGAAAGTTTCGGTTGTTTTTGGCCAACACTCGTTTTCGAGGATTGTCGAGCTATTCTCTCTGCAGAGAAGAGTTTCATAACTGGTTGGATGTGGCTTTCCCCAATTAGTGACTATCAGTTTGTTTCATGATAAAAGGATAGTGTCACGTTACCAGAGGAATAAACCGAGGGATTATCTGAAGTAATCTGATCAGATAGGATCAAAAGAAGGAAAAGGGTTTGTTGAAGAAAGAAACCTGATATGGGATTAGAATGCACAGGTTCTCTGGTTGAGTTTGATTTTGGATGAAACTTTGATATGATGTTGAAAACTTTGAGGTAGGATTGGAATCCCTTTGATCAAGAAATTGAGAGTATTTGCAGAAGTTTGCATTCAATAGTTAATCAAATTTGTCACACAAAACCTCATTTGTATCATGTGGTATGTACCATATACATGTATTGATATTATACATTTGATTATTCTCACTGTTACAGTGACCTTTGACCTAAAGCTCTACAAATGAAAGACTGTTAACCATAAAATAAACCCCCAAATAGATGTCTGTATCATACGAAATGTGTACTTTCATTTATTACTTTAACAATAACACATACAAGGTCAAGTGCGACTACAAATACCGTACTGAATCCAAGACCTAATGCACATTGGAAATGCATATGCCTTTAGTATAACCAACTTGCTTTAGGTTCAAAGCTGCAACATTGTTGCAAGAGTAGTTATCTTTGACCCTTAAATTCACAGTTTTTAAATAAGTCATGCTAAATGGTAAATGGACTTGAGCTTGTATGGCGCTTTTCTAGTCTTCTGACATCTGACATGTTGCTGCAGCAGCTGGGGATTGAACCCTCAACCTTCCGGTTGCAACCGACCAATGTGCCACAGCCGCCCCCCGTCATGTGGCATCAGTTTCACAATGCATCATGTCAACTGATGAAGTGGTACCATAAGTTATCAGAGGAAGGTATGAAAAATGCTGTTTCAGTTGATCAAACATAGTCACATCCCCCATTCTGTCACTTTTAGTAAATTGTCGTTCTCTTTCTGGCACTGATGAGTTGAAAGGCGTTATGAGGCAGGGTGATGAGTGCGGGGTTGGAACCCGACCTCGTCACCCCCTCACCCCTTTGCCACCTGGCTGAAACCTTACACCCAGACAACAAAGATCTCACTGGCACTTCCTGTGTTTCCTTCTGTTCTTCCTCCAACCTTCCAAAACATGTGTGAGCTATAGTCCGATGAGGTAGTGACGGTCATATGTTTAACATTTGAGCTTTTCTCGACTAGAATTTCAGAGATTCTTAAGCTGATAATTAAATTGGCATGTGGGGATTTAAGGTGACAGGGACACTTGTGAGTTTCGACTTGCCTGTTTGAACACTGTTCCGATACTTTATATACATTTTCTTGGTACTTTTTCTCACTAGTGACACATCAAACAAGCTTTTGACTTTGGTCATTTGTAGATTTCTACAAACCTTTTTTTTCCTTTCAATTCAATAGGCTAGTTAATAAAGTAATAGCTACATCTATAAAACGTAAAGCAGTAGAAACAATCTCATTACAATTCCCAAGAGCCCAAAGTGATGTAATAATATCTCTTTAATCAACAGTTCTAAACCCAAAGACTGTTCATTTAATATCAGAAATGAAAAAGACATAGTAAAGCCTAACATTCAAGAAGGTGAAACCAGATGATTGTTGATTGAAGATGGCTTATGTCTGAAATTATTCATCTTTTGTCAAATTAATTTAAAAATGCAGTTTCCGTGGAAGCTTTAGACTGTTGTTTTGTGCTTTCTCGGTTCCTAGGTTCAAGGCAACATTAGATTTTTTTCTTAGACTTTGCTGACCTTGCAATCATCTTCAGCTTATCTGATTTGGCGTCACTTTTTTTAATGCTGTTTTGACGGTAGGTAATTTGTTTCGTCAATATTAGAGTAATGAGAGACAAAAGCAATCCTTCCAAGCTTTTTTTCAACGCTAATGTAAATGAATTATTGTGCTATTTAAATTTGAAATACAACCTACAGGCACATAAAGGTCTCCCCACAGTTTATGTCATCAGACATACTGTTGATTTATTTGCAGTTCACATAGACATTAACATCAGTTGTTGGTTCACCATGTTGAAAAAGAGAGATCCTGAGCACTAAACACCTCAGCACAAAAAGAACACTCATTTACAACAACAAGGAAGTGGTGAGACCAACAAGTCACACAGTCGCAGAGTTATCAGAGAGGTTGCTCAACAAAGAAAGGCTTCGGCTGCTTTTGAAATTGGTCTTTGGAGCAGATTTTTGTCAGATTCAGTTGCTTTGAATACGTTAAAAGGTAGACTTTTTAGAGCAGTTTCACAAGAATTTACCATTTTTTACAAACCTCCATTTTGTTGAACAACAAATTGATCAATGTGTTGCTGATTTTTTAAGTGAGAACTGACAAGATAATGGAGAGTGAAACTCAGTCGAGAGTTAGGGCATGTTTGATAGCTATGGTAGGACACCTGGTTGGTTACAACCTTCCAAGCTCAAATTACCAATGTAATATTGTTCAATAGAAAAGATTGAAATCCATGGCTAATGGTAATGCTATTTAGCTTATTTATGTGAGGTAACGTATGATTTGATAACACTGGCTAGCGAACAATACAGTAAACCAGTAAAGTTAGCTAGAAATAACTGTTAGCTGTTCCGTCTGAAATATTTTGTTTTGTCTTTAAATTGATTTGATCATGCTAACAATAGTGGCTATGTTCTAGCTGTCAGTAATGATAGCTTGCTCATAAGTTATCAAATAAGTTGTTTTATCTTGAAATATAGCTGGATGTCCCAGATATTCTCACTTCCATTGAATTTTGAGGTGCCTATAAATTGGAAAGCAAAAAAATTAAAGCATTTTTTTGATTAACCCTATGTTTTTTTAATTTGAGAAACCAAAAGTATAGCATGAAATGTTAATACAGCGTTCTTCCAACCCTGAGTGTAATGCTAAAGGGAAAATTCTGTATGAATACGGAATTGCTGCAACCTATATTTTAAGTTGTGTAAATAATATGCAGGGCTATACTCCTTGTTGATGTTGTTGTTGGTCTCAGTCAAATGTCTTTCAGCTCTCAGTCTCAGCAGCATATATAAATATAGACCTGAACCTCTTGACGATACATATTTATAGTCTAAAAATCACAAGTAATCACATTTTTTACAGTCTGGTGTAATTTGACAACTGTGGAAGAATTTTATTAGGAGTCAAATCTAGCTTTAATCCTGTGAAACGTAAGCCTGTGTCGGATTACCCTGTGATCCTGGGTGTCGTCGTCTGAGGAGTTTTGAGTGACGTTTGGGG